CCGTTGTTGTTGATAGGTGCCATTAAGTTGATTAGGACTAATAGCTGCCCTGTGAACAACTGGACTGTCCTCAGGAGCTCTGTTATCCTCAAGGCCATTATTACAGTCATTGTGTCACTTCATCTTCTTGACGGTCTTCCTCTAACTCTCCACCTTTTCCAGCATGAGGTCTTTTTCCAAGGACTGGTCCTTACAACATGCCCAAAGTATGTGAGACCATCTTTTGGTAAAAGTAAGTTTCATGCAACAATGAATGACTGGAAACCCTAAGTCTCTGTATACTTTTATTTAAATTAATTAAAAAATATAATGAGTTCTCTCTGACATAGTAAACAATTTGTAAGGAAGTTTTTGTTAAGGCATAAGATTTGTTAAGATCCGCATCACTGCACAAAAACTATTGATTATCAAAGCAAGTTATCACACCAAATGTGAGAAGGGCTGGTGCCACAATGTAAAACATCTTTGTATACCATTATCAAACAAAACCCAAGTGTCAAAATGGAGTCTCCTGATGTTGGCCCAAGAAATGAAGATAAACATGTCTTGAACAAATCCTCATGGGGAAAAAAAAAGTAAGTTTCACTGTACTTGCTTCTAAGGAGCAGCATGGTTGGACTTCCCCCACGATAGACTTATTTGTTCTTTTGGCAGTCAATTGGATATTCCGTGCTCTTCTCCAACACCACAATTCAAAGATCTTAATTCTTCTGTCATCCTTATTCATTGCCCAACTTTCAGATGCATAAAACGCAATTGAAAATACCATGTCTTAGGTCATGCACCTTGTATGTTTTGGACCATGCACTTTACCAAGCCTTCAAACTGACATCTTTGCTCTTTAGAAAGATCTTTGCAAGATCTTGACAGCAGATTTTCCCAGTGCAACATGTCTTTTGATTTCTTGACTGCTGGCACTCTGAGTTTTGATTATGGGTCCAGGTAGAATGAAATAATTGATAACTTCAGTCTTTCCTCCATCTGTCATGATGTTGCCTGTGAGTTTGTTGGTTAGGATTTTTGTTTTCTTGTTGTTCGAATATAATCTATATTGAACACTATAGTCTCTGATCTTCTGCAAATCTTTTTACTTTTCAGCAAGCAAGGTTGTCAATGTGTCTTCTTCCCATCTTGATGGAAAATTCTTCTTCATATGGCCTAGCTTCTCAAATTATTATGGAATTACTGTGGACTGTTACTATTATTGATATCAGAAGACACTCTAACAGTTGCACCAGAACATAGGCCAAAATAAAGGCAAGGAATGTTGAAGTAAGAGATAAACAGGATTTCAAAGGACAGCTTGAGAAGACAAAGCAAAGTATAACAAAATATGGAAGGAGCTGGAGTTAAAAATCAGAAGGATCAAGAAGACTCTTGGCATTTTTCAGGATTAAGAACTGAAAAATTCACACCTTGAGTTGTAATACTCAAGGACTTAAGGGGGAAAGTCTTTAATTATGCAAGAAGCATCCAAAGAAGATGGAAGGAATATATGGAGTCATTGTACCAAAAAAGAATTGGCTGACATAGAACCATTTCTTTTTCAGGCTTAAGAACTGAAATATTCAAGCCTTGAGGTATAATATTGAAGGACTTTAGGGGGGGAAACTTTAATTATGCAGGAAGCATCCAAAGAAGATGGAAGAAATGCAGAGTCAATGTACCAAAAAAAGAATTGGCAGACAAAGAACCATTACAGGAAGAGCAAATGATAAATAACCAATGATAATGAAGACATTCATGCTGCCCCAAAGGTATTAGCAAACAATAAGGCCCTGGAAATTGATGGAATACCAGTTGATTTGTTTCAACAAATAGATGCACCCCTGGACATGCTCACTAGTCTGTGCCAAGAAATTAGGAAATCAGCCACCCAGCCAACTAACTGGAAGAGAGCCATATTTTTTTCCCCATTCCAAAAAAGGGAGATCCACCAGAAGTTATTGAGCATCATTAATATCATATGCAAGTAAAATCCTGCTCAAGAGTATTAAAAACAAATAGAACAGTACATAGATGGGAAACTGCCAGTAATTCAAGCTGGATTCAGAAGAGGTCATGGCATAAAGCACATCATTATATCAGATAGAGCCTGGCTGAAAGCAGAGAATACTATACAGGTGTTTATTTGTATTTTATTGACTGTTTGACTAAGTGGAACATAAAGAATGTGAATCCCATAACACTTAATTGTACTTAAAATGTCCAAATAGAAGGGGAGCTCTGGTGGCCTAGTGGTAAGGAGCTGCAACTACAATCCCAGAGGCGCACGGTTCGGGAAGGAGGGACAATCTCCTCCTGTACCAGTCAGATCTGATTTGACGGTACACTCACACAAAAAAAATTAAAATGTAAAAAAAATGTCCAAATAGAACAAGCAGATGCTGCATGGTTTTAAATCAGTAAAGGTTCCTGTCAGGATTATGCCCTTTCTCCATACCTGTTCAGTCTGTATGCTGAGTAGATAATTCAAGCTGGATTCTGTTGCCATTGAACCAGCTCTAACTCATAGTTACCCTAATGTACAAGAAAATTAAATAACTGCCTGATCCTGCATCATCTCATAATTGTTGCTATGCTTGAGCCCATTGTTGTAGCCACCATGTCAGTCCACCTTGTAAGGGTCTTCCCCTTCATCACTGACCCTTTACTTTACCAAGTATAGTGTCTTTCTCCAGGAATTCATCCCTCCTGTTAACATCCAAAATAGATAAGGTGATGTCTTGCCATCCTCACTCCCAAGGAGCATTCTGCCTGTGTTTCTACCATGCCAGATTTTTTTCATTGCTCTAGCATTCATTCCATGGACTCGTAGGCTGGATTCTCCAGAGAAACAAAGTCAGTGAAGCTAAGATAAATTAGATGGATAAGTAGATAAATAGGTAAAAATTTACTTCAAAGAAATGCATGTAGAGGCTGGTAAGTCCCTGGTCCAGGGATAAAAGCTCAGGAGAGGCTAATGTGTTCAAAGTCAAGTGTGTAAGCAGAGTAAAGTCTACTGCCTGAGAAATCCTGAGTAACAAGCAAGATCAAATGCTGCTAGCTTCAGAAGCTACCACTATCTCATTTCAAAATGTTAGTGTAAAGCATCAAGGCAATGTACTGGCATAATAGACATTTTTATCATTAGAACAGAATGTTGTTGTTAAGTGAGTCAACTACATTGAGTCAGCTACAACTCACAGCAACCTTAGGAACATCAGATCAAAACGTTTGCCATATCCTGCACTAGCTTCACAATCTCCATAGTGATTGTTAGAATCTCCGTGTCTGTCCACCTGTTGAGGATCTTCCTCTCTCTTTTCTGATCCTTTCCCTTTCCCAGCATGATGTCTTTTTCCAAAAACTGACCTCTTCTGATAACACACCCAAAGTATGCAAGACAAAGTTTCACCATCCTTATCTTTAAGGAGCACTTTGATTATATTTCCTCTATAAGTTAGAGCGTAGAACTAATCCACAGGATCTTCTTGGCTATAATCTTAAAAGAAGTAATGCTCCAGGCCTATCTTTTGTTGTACCAGTTAGAGGTTTGCACTACCATACTTGAGGTTAGCAGTCTATCAAAATAGTTTGTACTACCTAAGGTACAAATATAAGTACGTTGGCTCTTCATGCCGTTGTGTGCCACCAAGTTGCAAATGACTCATAGCTGATCCGGCAGTGGGTTTTCAGAGGCTATAAATTGCACAAGAAGAAATTTCCTATCTCTATCCCTCAGAGCGGTTGGAAGGTTTGAAACCACTTTTAAGTTGGAAACACAGCTCCATACTACACAACCACCAGAGCTCTTCATAGAAACACAAATTTAATAACTTGAATGAGATGCCAGTATACATTCACCAGAATATCTGACAACCCCAATTATTGATAAAGACATGAAATAATTTTAAGAACTCCTAACATTTTTTATGTTGAAACTGCTTTTGTGAAAGGATTAACATTTGCTATTAAAATGTATCATATCTATTGTTTAACCTGGAAATTACACACCTAAGTATATACTGGAGATATGAAAGCATAAGGGCACAGAAAGGCTTGTGCAAGACTCATCATAGATTGATTTTGTTTAGCCTGCTTTAGAACTTCATAAAAATGGACTCTTAGAAATACATGATTTTACAGAAACTCTTTAGCTTAAGTTTCCTTTCACTCAGCATAATGTTTGTGAACTACATCTATGCCATGATACAGATAACTAGTTGATTATTTTTTTATTGCAAAGTAGTATTCCATTGTAGGAATATACTAATTTATCCATTATCTTATTGATGGACACATAATAGATTGTGTCTAGTTTGAGCTATTATTATTAAAGTTGCTATGATAATTTCTTATGTTAAAATACTAATAAAAACCACATTAGTACAAGGGTAGTCTTGAAATTGTCACAGTTAAGAGAAGCTTAAGGAAACATGACAACTGACTAATGCAGATGGGATCCTAGAGCAGGGGGAAAAAGGCATTAAGTAAATATAAAGAGGTCTTGCATATAATGTATATAACAATTATAATTATAATACAGTATATTTACTTATATAATGTATTTATTGATTCATTAATTATAATAAATGATTGAGCCTATTGTCAATGAGCAGATAGATATGTGATGAAGCAAAATGTTAATTGTAGCATCTGATTGTGGGTATGTAATTATTCATTCTCAACTCTTTTAACTTTCCTATGTATTTTAAAATTTTCTTGATCACAGGACTTGTTTTTCTCCTTGTTCTTTTTTAAAATTTTTTTCTCATTGTTTTTAACAGATGTCTTGTGTTGTTCCTCTAGGCAGAAAGCTCTTAGAGTAGCATTCCTACATAAAATACTTCCTTCATTACCATTGAAACTTCTAGGGAAGGTAAAAGACGTAGACCTGCTCTGAGGAAGAATTCTGCTGTGGTTTCCAAAATGGTATCCTTATTAAGTTTGGAATGCTTACATTGGAATTAATTTCTACTAAGTGGCTAATATTTAAAACCTCTTTCTTTTCAGATATACAACCAAATGTGGAACTACAAACTACTCAGGAACAGTCTGCACCCATAGGTAATGTCATCTCTTTCTTTCTCCTAAAATATACCTTGAGTGAGTTTGTTGTTGTTGTTGTTGTTGTTATGTGTCGTCGAGTCGTTTGCGACTCATAGCGACCCTATGCACAACAACCCTAAATCCTGCTCTATCCTGCGCCAACCGCACTACCTCTGACACACCCATTCCGATTACCCCAGTCACCGAATCAATCCATCTCATAGAGGGTCTTCCCCTCCTGCGCCGTCCCTCCACCCTCCCAAGCATGATGTCCCTCTCCAAAGAAAAAGGAGTGTTTTTAATATGATTGCAGAGAAAATGGGACTGTGTTGAAGAAAAAGAAAACAAACTCTGCCTGACTTACACAAAAAGCCTCGTCAACTTAGATCATTAATTTCTTTTGGCATCACAAGGCCAAACTAAACCCTACTTAATGATGATTGTTTAAAGTGTTTTTTTCAACTGATTTATTGAGATTTATTGATTTATTGGGTTTTAACTGATTTATTGAGTTTTTGTTGGATAAATATATAGTTAGCAGTGTTTTTTTCAACTGATTTATTGAGATTTATTGATTTATTGGGTTTTAACTGATTTATTGAGTTCTCGTTGGATAAATATATAGTTAGCTTGTATTTTTTACCCTAGAACAGTAGTCTGCAAACTCTTTCTGTAAGTGGCCAAATGGCAAATATGATGGATGGGGAAAAATCAAAGTAAGATATTGTAGGATTGACTAGAATCTAGAGGCAATTTTTGAGATAATCAGGATGTTCTATATCCTTTATAGGGATTTTCATTACATAGGGATATTCTTTGGTTAAAACTTATTGCATGGTACATTTAATATCTGTACATTTAATTTTATATAAATTTTTCCCTAAAAGAAAACCAACCTTTTCAATAAATACTACACTCAAGACCATCAACTACTCATATGCAAGTTCAAATTAAAGCTAAAGAAGGTTAAAGCAAATCCAAAGGAACCAAAATTTGACCTTGAGTTCATCCTACTTGAGTTTCAAAATCATCTCAGGAACAGGTTTGAGGCCTTGATCACTAATGAACGAAGACCAGATGAGCTGTGTGAGAATATCAAGAATATCATCCAGGAAGAATGCAAGAAAAAGAGTACAAAGAAAGGAGGAAGAAAAGACTGAGATGGATGTCAGAAGAAACTCTGAATATTACACTAGAATGCAGAAAAACCTAAGCAAATGGAAGAACTAAGAAGTTAAGGAACTGAGTAGAAGATTTCAAAGGGCAGCATGGGAAGACAAAGCAAAGTATAATAATGAAATGCACAAAACTGGAATTGGAAAATCAAAAGGGTCACACTCTCTTGGTATTCCTTTTTTTTTTTAAAGTTGTTTATTTTTCATTTCAATGAACATCTACAGAGATTTTGGAATTACATTCATTTATTGTTGCACCCTTCTCCCCGCCCACCCCGCCTCCCCCCTCCCCCCCCTTTGCTATTCTCCTTAAAAAGCAAAAGAAAAACTCCCTCATTGGTACACAAGCCCCTCTGCACCTCCCCCACACCCACCCACCCCCAGCTGAAGGAACTTTAGAACAAATTCAAGCCTCGAGTTGCAATACTTAAGTTTACTGTGGGCAGAATATTGAAATTGTCCAGGAAGCCTTAAAAGAAGATGGAAGGAGTACACAGAGTTACTGTAAAAAAAAAGAATTGGCTTACACAGAAGTTCAAGAAACAACATATGATAGTGGTGATGAAGGAGGAAGTTCAAGGTGCTCTGAAGGCCCCAGTGTTTCAATTAACTTACCTCGAGAAACAGAGGCTGCACTGGATGTGCTCACCAGATTGTGCCAAGAAATCCCGAGGACAACTACATGGCCAACTCACTGGAAAGATCCATATTTATTCCTGTCCCAAAATAAGGTGATCCAACAGAGTTTGGAAATTATCCAACAATATCACCAATAACATACACAAGCAAAATCCTGCCGAAGATTATAAAAAAATTACTGGAACTGTACATTAACAGAGGACTACCAGAAATACAAGCTGAGTTTAGAAGAGATCATGAAACAGTATCACCAATGTCAGATGGACTTTGGCTGAAAGCAAAGAGTACCAGAGTAATGTCTATCTGTGCTTCATTGACTGAGCAAAGGTATTAGACTGTGTGGATCACAACAAATTGTGGCTAACCAGGAGGCGGTCATCAGAACAGAGCAAGAAAACAGCGAATGGTTCGAAATTAGGAAGAGAATGCGTCAAGGATGCATTCTGTCTCCATACTTTTTCAACCAGTGTGGGGAATAGGTCATTCAGGAGGCAGGATATTATGAGGATGAATGCGACGTCAAGATTGGAAAAAACCTCATCAACAACCTGCACTATGCTGATGACACAATCTTGCTTGCTGAAACTAAGGAGGACCTTAAGCACTTGCTACAGAAGGTCAAGGACTGTAGTCTTCAATGTAAATTGAAACATAACATCAAGAAGACAAAAATTCTCACCACTGGGCCAATTAGCAGCACATTATGGATGGAGGAGAGATTGAGGTTAACAAATTCAGCTTGCTTGGTTCCATAATCAACATTCTTGGCACCATTCTTTTGACCAGGAAGTCAAAATTGCATTGGGAAAGTCTACTGTCAGGGACCTCTTCAAAGTGCTAAAGAGCAATGATATCAATCTAGAGACTAAAGTGTGCCTTTTCCAGGTTCACAATTACGTGCTATGCATCAGAGAGCTAGATAATGATCAAGGATGACAGAAGAAGAATTGATGCCTTTGAGTTGTGCTAGAAAAGAGTGTTGAACATACCAGGAGAACAAATAGATTTGTCTTGGGGAATGTGAAACTAAGTTTCTTCTTGGAGGCAAGGATTTTGAAGTTCCATCTCACATACTTAAGGAATGTGGCCAGGAGGGACTAGTCCTTGGAGAAAGACATCATACTTGGAAGGACATGGGGACAGTGAAGGAAAGGAAGACCCTGGATGAGATGGATTAACACAGTAACTGGGGCAGTGGGATTAGTTGTCAGAGTCCATAGAGATTGGTTCAAAATAGGGCAGGGTTCAGAGCTATTGTACCTAGGTTGGCTATGAATCGCAGGTGATTTGATGGCCCATAACAACAACAACATGATTAAATATTAGGGGTGAAGTGTGCTAGTAATCTGCAACTGATTTTGAAATTCACTGTAATGGTCAGCAGACTGTTTCTGTAAATAACCAAATAGCAGATATTTTAATTGCAACACACATAAGTCCCCTTTTGCATATTCTTTGTGTTTGTGTATATGTGTCTTTCTGTTTTTCATAGTTAATTTTAATGAATGTTTACAAAGACTTAGAGTTTCCATTCATTCATTCATTCATTGTTGCACTTTTCTCCCTGCCAAACCCCTCCCCACCAATTCACTCTTCTCATTGAAAAGTAAAAGAAAAAATCTTTCATTGTTATGCAGTCCCTCCCCTCAAGTCCACTCCACTGTGCAGCCTTCATTCTGGACTCCTGTCATGATAATAATACACAATCATATATCCCTTTTAAACAGTCCTCTCCCTCATCTATTTCAATGAATATACATCATTCCTCCCCTCATTCTCTGTCTTCCCTCAACCCCAATGTCAGTCCTGTTTCACTACAGTGGCTTTATGCAATATTTGTCCTTTTGTGACTGAGATATTTCACTCAGCATAATGTCCACCAGGGTCATCCATTTTGCATAATATTTCATGAGTTCCCTGTTTTTCAATGCAGCATAGTATTCCATTGTGTGAATATACCAGAGCTGCTCTATCCATTCGTTTGTTGATGAGGACTTGGGTTGTTTCCAGCTCTTTGCTATTGTGAACAAAACCACAATAAACATAGGTGTGCATATATCTGCTTGAGTAGCAGTTATGGTTCCGTTAGGGTAAATTCCCAGTAGTGGAATTGCTGGGTCAAATGGTATCTCTTTTTGCAACTTTTTGAGAAAGCGCCATACAACCTTCCATAGTGGTTGCACCATTTTACACTCTCACCAACAGTGAATAGGGTTCCAGTTTCTCTGCAACCTCGCCAGCATTTGATGTTTGCTGTTCTGTTAAATTTTGTTCTTCTTAACTGGGGTGAAATGATATCTCATAGTTGTTTTGATTTGCATCTCTCTTAGAGCTAGGGATTTTGAACATTTCTTCATGTGTTTGTTGGCCATCTCAGTGTCTTCTTTGGTGACGTGTCTGTTCATATCCTGTGCCTGTTTTTCAGTTGGGTTATTTACCTTTATCTTGTTGTGGTGCTCGAGTATTTTATAAATTCTAGATACCTTCACACAGTGGAATTTTTTGCAGCCCTCAGGAATAACAATTTTGAAAAATATTATATAACATGAGAGTGGCTAGAGAGCACTATGCTGAGTAAACTAACTCAGACACATAAAAACAAATATACTGTATAAGACCGTTACTGCAAAATAGAAGGCTAACCAGTAAGATGTATATGGATACCCAAAGAGGGAAGAGGAGGGAGCAGAGAGCTGAGGAGTAGGGGGGGAAATCACAGGATTGCAGGGTTTGGTGCTTGGAAGGAAGGGGCAGGGAGAAAAACAATCAATGTACATGAATGAAACACAATATAAACAAATTTTGTATGGAGACCAATAAAACTTTTTTTAAATTTATTTTTAGAAGATCCCATCCATCGAATTATATCCTTTTCTGGTTGTGCATTTTGGCTATGTTTGCAAACCTGTTTATGCAATAGACTAGGGTTTCTAGATTTGTTCTTCTTTTTTCTTTTCTTTTCCTCTCATGATCTTTTTAGGTTTTTGCTTTGCCCCTAGGACCTCTGTCTACCTTGAGTTTGGTTTTATGTATAGTGTGCGGTGTGGATTTTGTTTCCATTTTCTGCAGATAGAGTTCCAAATTTGCCAGCATTGTTTGTTAATGAGGCTGTCATTCGCCCACTTAATTTCTTTCATCTCCTTGTTACAGATCTTTTTACCACAATAGATAAATTGATTTCTGAGCACTCAATTCTATTCCATTGATCTATGTGTCTGTCATATAGGAACAGTACCATGCTGTTTTGATTACTATGGCTGTATAGTAGGTTTTGAGAAAAGAGAGTATGATGCCTCTGTAATTCTTTGCTTATTTTAAGTCTCTTTGTTTTTTAGATAAAAATGGAAATTGCCTTTTCCATATCCTTGGTATCTATATTAAGATTGCATTGCACTTGTAGATTACTTTTGGTAGAATGGTCATTTTTACAATATTAAGTCTCCCTATTCATGAACACCTATAAACCTGGAGAGAGGATGAAAGACACCCAAGCATTGAGGACTCTCCTTCATAGGGTTGCTATGAGTCGCCTGCGACTCAACAACACTTAACAACAACAACAATTCATGAACATGGTATATTCTTCTGTTTATCTAGGTCTCCTTTTGTTCCTTGTAGCAGTGTTTTGTAGTCTTCTTTGTATAGCTCTTTTGTGACTCTAGTTACATTTGTTTCTAAGTATTTCATTTTGTGATAGGCTGCTGTAATTAAAAAGATTTTTTACAAATTTGACATTTTCTGAAACACCCTTAGTATCTGCTTTGTACTTTGTATTTCCTTTAATACTTTTCCAAGACTACTCAACACTATAGTTGTGTACTTGTCTTATCTACAAATTATTTTATGTACAAATTATAAGGTATTCAAAGACAAGATTATGACCTGTTCTTATCTGAAGCATTTCCACTCTTAGCAAATGTTCAGAGAAATAAAGGAATTTAGAGGCCATCTTTATTTCCATAGAAGAGCATTTACAATATAAACTTAAGGGGAGAATAGGATTTGGCATTTAATATTCAGGTTTCTTCTCAGGAAAACATCTTTCCCAAATTAGATTATGCTGGTATTTCCAGGCTCATTATTTTATCAACATACATTAATGGGGAGATCTGGTGGCCTACTGGCAAGAAGCTGCACTGCATTACCAAAGGCACAAAGTTCTAATCCACCAGTGCTTTACAGGAGAAAGATGGATAGTCTCCTTCCATGCAATTAACTGCCTCTGAAAACCTGCTGGAGCATCAACTATGAGTCAGTTCTGGTTCAATACACAACAGCAAACAAATATACATTAATAGCTTTTAGTCACCAATTAAAATACCATCTTTCTGAACATTGTGAGAAAAGAAATAAAGGAATAATTTTCTGTCCTGTAACAGAAAACTTATTAAAGGAAATCATGTCTACCAGAAAGATTCATAGACCTGGGTATATTTCAAAACTTCACAGTTTTTCACATAACTTCAAGACATATGTGAAAAGGATAGAACCTATCACTGTAGGATTGTGTGAAGTTGAAATTTTTGGAGGTCTAATTGATATCTGTTTATAAAAATTCTTTTATAAAAATTACTTGAAGTGATTACATGATTCAAACTCATTTTTTTCTTTTAGAAGGTCCCGTGAATTTGAATGACTACAGTTTAACCAAGCCCCATGAAATAGAAAATGTGGACAGTGCTGAAGGTCCAAGCAATGAAGATGAAGATACAGGAGGTGAGTTATGCTGTAGAGACATAACACTAGAAGTTACCAATATGGGTAAAACTTCATTGGAGAATGAATGGAAATCCAAAATCTCTGTAAATGTTCATTAAAATTATTAAAATAAAATCTAAAAAAAAAAAACACACCAAACTTTGTTGGAGAAGAAACCGGGAACTGCCCTAGGAAAATAGATCTGTGGATTTAGTTGGGAGTGATTCCGTTTTACTCATTTCAAAAATATTAGTATTACTTTTGTTACAAAATATTGGCCAGTTTCTAAAGTACTTACTCAGAGTTAAGCTTATTTCTTGTAATATAAAGGTAATAATATAATACATTTTCAATTTGGAAAATGAATTCAGATAAAAAAAAATCTCTTTCCTACTTTTTAAACATAAATTACATGTTAACGTAAACATAATTTTTAGTACTGTATAAATATTGGACACATTTTATTTTACTCTTATTGATAAATCCAATCATTATTGTTTTATAAATTATATGCAAATCTTAAATGTTACATTTTCAGAGATTTTTTTTCCTGGCTGGTAAGTTACTTAATTTTAATTCTCTGTATCCTCCCTTGTGATTAACTGCCTCTGAAAACCCACTGGAGGGTCAGCTATCAGTCAGTTCTGACTCCTTAGTACACAACAACCAACATATGACAGTTATCATGGGTATTTTAGAGTTTGTACAAGTTTATTGTTTCTCCCTCTCCCTTTTGAGTTGGGATCTTAGACTACCTTTGTTTACTACTGGATGTTCACAGCTCCTGCAGTAATGACTGACCTCTCAAACAAGCTCAGATTCACTGCAAGCAGGTCAGTTCTGACTCATAGCAACCCTCCATTGGATTTCTTGGGCTCTAAATGTTAACGGGGAAAGGGAGCTCTGGTGACCTAGTGGCGAGAAGCTGTGCTGCAATCCCAAAGGTGCACAGTTTAAATCCACCAGATGCTCTGCTGGAGAAGGAGGGGCAATCTCCTCCTGTGCCAGTCAGATCTGATTCGACGGTACACACACACAAAATGAAAAGTTAATGGGAGGAGATTGCCATCTTTCTCCCTCAGAGCTGGTGGATTCCAACTAACAAAGGCACACAGCCTTTGAGTTAGCAGTGCAATTCACTGTGCCAACAATGCTGCTTACCTGGTCCCTATTAGATGTGTAATAAGTATTTGTTGAAAGAATGACTACATGAAAGTTCTAGAGTGGTTATAAATGTGTGTGGTATATATGTAACTTTTTAAATCAAGGTGAAATTCATATGACATTAAATTAACCATTCAAAACTAGATAATTCAGTGACATTTGGTGCATTTTTTTGTACTTCCAAAGCATTTTCATCACACCAAAAGGAAACCTCATACCCATTATGCATTTGCCCAATTCTCCCATTCCCACTGCCACTAGTTGATTAACTACCAGTCTGCTTTCTGCCTCGGTTGTTGTTAGTTATGTGCCATCAAGTTGGAACCAACTCATAGCTGATCCTTCAGCAGATTTCCAGAGACTGTAAATAGCACAGGATAATATTGCCCATGTGTCGCATTTCATATAAATGAGGACTTTATAAAAATTTGTATCTGGCTTATTTAACTTAATACAGTGTTTCCAGGGTTCATCCCTTCATTGCAGATATGGACAACTAACATTCCACTTGTTGTATATAAGCAGCTCTGGTAGCCTAGTGAGTTAGGATTTGTGCTGCCAACCCACAGGCTCCTAGTTCAAATCCACAAGCTGCTCCATAAGTGAAATATGGGCTATCTTCTCTCATGTGATTTACTGCCTCTGAAAACAAGTGTCCATTATTAATTGATTCTGACTCAACAGTACATTCGGATTTAATATTGATAATTTTTACATTCTTTTGTATCACCTTTTTTGGGTATGGGAACAACTGTCGATCTATTTCAGTCTGTCAGCCAAGTAGTAGCAGTCCTCCAAATTTTCTGATATAGACTGAGGGCATCTGTTAGTTGAAACATGTCAATTAGTATCCTGTCAGTTCTTGGGTCCTTTCTTTTTGCTATTGCCTTCAGTGCAGCTCGAATTTCTTTCTTCATTACCTTTGGCTCTTGTTCATATAGTACTTCCTGAAGTTTTTCAGTGTCAATCAATTCCTTGTGGTACAGTGACTCTGTATATTCCTTCCATCTTCTTTTGATGCTTCTTGAATCATTCAGGATTTTGCCCATAGCATCACTCATGGCTTGGCTTTGTTTTTCAGTTCTTTCAACTTTTAAAAATGCCAAGCAGCCCATCAACAAATGAATGGTTAAAGAAGCTCTGGTATATTCACACAGTGGAATACTATGCACCACTGAAAAACAAGGAACTCATGAAATATTATGCTAAGTGCATGACCCTAGAGGACATTATGCTGAATGAAATATCTCAGTCACAAAAGGACAAATACTGCATAGGGCCACTATTGTAAAACACGACTGACATTGGGGTTGAGGGAAGACAGAGAAGATGGGGAGGAATGATATATACTGCATTGCAACAGATGAGGGAGAGAACTGTTTAAAAGGGATATATGATTAGGTATTATTGTCATGACAGGAGACCAGAATGAAGGCTGCACAGTGCAGTGGACTTGGGGGAGGGATTGCATAGCAATGAAAGACTATTTATTTTACTCATCAAGGAGAAAAGTGAATTGGGGAGAGGAGGTGGCCAGGGAGAAAAATGCAGCAATGAATGACTGGAAACCCTAAGTATCTGTAAAATTTCATTAAAATTAATTTTTAAAATGATGAAAAATGTTTTTTTAAATGCCAAGAAAATTCTTTCCTTGTTTCATTGATTTGTTTTTCTTAATATAAAACATATCAACATTCTTGGAGCCAGCCGTTAGGAAATAAGAATGCGAATTGTATTGGGAAAATCTACTCTCAAGGACCTCCCCAGAGTACTGAAAGGCAACAATGTCTGTCTAGAGACTAAGATGCTCCTGATTCAGACCATTATCTTTGCAATTACTTGCTATGCATCAAAAAGCTGGACAGTGACTAAGGATGACAGAAGAAGAATCTAAGCCTTCTAATTGTGGTGCTGGAGAAGAGTCTAGAATATACTATGGATCACCAAGAAAGCAAATTGGTCTGTCTTAGGGTGAAACCAAGTTTCTCCCTGAAGGCTAGGATTTTGAAGCTCTGTCTCACATACTTTGGGCATGTGGCCAGGAGAGACTGGTCCTTAGAGAAGGACATCATGCTTGGAAAGGTGGAGGAACAGCACAGGAAAGGATGACCCTGGATGAGATGAATTGATACAGGAACTGGAGCAATTGGGTTGATGTACTGGAATCAGTGAGACTGGCTCAGGACAGGGCAGACTTCAGAGCTGCAGTACGTAGAGTCCCTGTGGGTCGCAGGCAACTCAACAACGTGTAACAACAGCATAAAATACATACTTTTAATTTTTTTAATCAAGTGCACTTTATTTTTTTTTATTCTTCCTTTCTTTCCCCCTTTGTTTTGACTTCTCAATGCCCTAGTGCAATTTCCAGAGTCTCTTCTGACATCCATTTTAGTCTTTTCTTCTTCTTCTGTCTTTTTAACAACCAATATCATAATAACATATGCAAGCAAAATATTGCTGAAGATCATCCCGAAATTACTAGAACAGTAAGTACATTGACAGAGAATTGCCAGAAGTTCAAGTTGGATTTAGAAGAGGCCACACTACCAGAGTTATCACTACTGATATCAGATGGAGCCTGGCTGAAGTTGTTGTTGTTGTTAGAGAATACAAAAATGTCTGCTTTTATTGAATATGCATAGGCATTTTACTATGTGGATAATAAAAACACTATGGTAAACATTGAGAAAAATGACAATCCTGGAACACTTAGTTATGCTCATATGAAACCTATACCTAGACAAAGAAGCAGTTGTCTGAACGGAGCAATGGAACACTGCATGGTTTAAAATCAGCAAAGGTGTGCATCAAGGTTGTATCCTTTTTCCATATCTATTCAATCTGTATGCAAAGAAATCATTTAAGAATCTGGATTCTAAGAAGAATGCCATCATGATTAGAGGATGACTCATCAACAACCTGTGTTATACAGATTATACAACCTGCTTCCTGAAGGTGAGGAGAACTTGAAGTGCTTACTGCAGAGGATCAGAGACTACAGCCATGAATATAGATTACATCTCAATATCAAGACAAAATTTCTCACCACTGAACACATGGATAAAAGATTGAAATTGTCAATGATTTCATCGTACTTGGATCCACAATCAGTATCTTTGGTGCCAGGAATCAGGAGACCAGGAGTTGTGTTATATTGAGAAAGTGCACTATCAGGTACCTCTCCAAATCACTGAAGAGCAGAGATATCAATTTGAAGACATAAGATGTGCCTGATTCAGGTAATGATCTTTTTCAGTCATTTGCTATGCTTCCGAGAGTTAGTTAAAAAGGATAACAGAAGGATTGATTCCTTTGAGTTGTGATGTTGGAGAAGAGTACTGAATATCCTGTCAACTGACAAAAGTAAAACAAGGTATGTCTTGGGGAAAATGCAGCCATGGTGCTCCTTGGAGGCAAGGATGGTGAAACTTTGTCTTACATACTTTGGGCATGTTACTAGGAGAAGCTATTCCTTGGAAAGGGGCATCATGCTTTGAAAGGTGAAGGGTCAACCAAAGGGAGGAAACCTTCAATGAGGTGGATTGACATAGTAACTGCAGCAATGGACTTAAGTGTGTTAGAGATTATGAGGATGGCACAGGATAGAACAGGGTTCAGATATGCTCTTCATAGGATTGCTATGAGTTGTACTCAACTCCATGCCACCTAACAACAGGAATAGCAACAGCACATAACAACAACATATGGATATAACACAATTTGTTTATTCATTCGTCTGTTGATGGGCATTTGTGTTGCTTCTTTCTGCCTTTTTTTAATTTTTTTTCCTATATTTTATTAATTTTCATAAACATTTACAGAGATTTTGGGTTTCCATTCATTCATTGTTGCAC